GGCCCCTGGCCCCACATCCTGGCATTTATAGGGATTTTCCATGGACGGGAGGGGAGGACTCGGCACGCGGCTATTCTGGGATGTGGGATTCTTTCCCCTCAGCTGCAGGACCCGATTTAGCTGGGCAGAGCCAAAATAGCAGCTTCCTCTGGCACCCACCTAAACCAGCCTGTCCCCCCCTCCATGCCCCAGCACCTGGGGCGACAACAGGGGGACGGGGCTGTCCCCACCACCAAGAGGACATGGGGCCCCTTGTGGTGGGGAGGAGACACTGGCCATGCCACGGAGATGCTCAAGGTCTTGTCCCCACCATCTCCGCCATCCCAGCCCTATTTGGCCAGGCCAGATCCCAGCATGGCACCAGGGTCCTTTTTTGGGGACACAAGGCCCTGTTTCATCCCGCTGTGGGCTGGGAGCTGTGGGGATGCAGGAGAAGGAGGAAGACGCTCTACAAAACACGTAGAGGGGTTGTGAGTGGGATTCCAGGCGGATCCTGCCCCAGGGCTGGTGGGACACGATGCTGGCTGAGCAGGGAAAGCCCTGCCAGCAATAAGGAATACACTTTCTTTGCTCATGTGTCCTCACACCGTGTCCCTGTGTTGTGTCCCCGCAGGCATCAGTAGGCGCCATAAGGCGCCGGGAGCCAACTGCTTGCAGGCAACGTTGGGGACAGTCCTGTCCCCCAGCTCTGCTGCCACACGTGTCCCACAGACGGGCTCACACTGCCTGTAGCATTCCCATGGCATGACGTGGGACAGGACGGAGCAGACACCTCGGCTATGGGCACCCCCGACACCCCTTCTCCCTGCAGGCACAGCCAGACTCTGTGTCAGCGGTTGTTGGTGGCCACCACTGCACGGCCACACACCCGTCCCCACTGCCGCAGTGCCCCCCTGGCCCTGGAAAGCCTCACAGGGGCAGTTTGGGCAGCAGATGCAGGGGTTCCTCAACGTGATCGGCCCTGGCCATCGTGTCCCCAACACTTACACTTGTGGGGACAGGAGCGCTGGAACAGGGATAAACCCTTGTACCTCTCCAAAGCATCAGAGGCTGCTCCCTGTATCCACAAGGAGGAAGCGGGAATGTGTGTGCAGCCTTGTCCTGACTGGAGGGATTGGCTGTGCAGAGCCAGCCTGTGTCCCTGGAGAACCCTGACGGGGGCTCGGAGCCAGGACACCTCCCTGGGATACCCGGGGAAGAAACACACGACGTGGTGCCCTGGCCAGTGCCCAGCGCAGCTCCGGGGACAGGACGTGGTGCCAAGTGTCCTCCCCATGCCCTGTCTTCGAGTGCCAGGGATGGCAGGACACAGAGCTGGGATGTGATGGGGGGAATCCCCCCAGCAGGTTTGGCAGTGACTGGCTCTGGGATCAAACAGCACTGCCAAACCCTGAGGCACCACTGCCATTAACAGGAGGAGGTGACAAGCTGGGGACAAAGCTGCAATGCCAAGCCCTGTGTTTGGGAAAGGAGAAGCGACTCGCCCCCAGCCCCATCCTGCACCCATGGCAGCAATGGCACAAGGGAGACCAGGCGTGGATGAAACTGCCTTTATTGAGAAAAATGGTTTGCTACAAATACGTCATTGATCTGATTCTTCATCAAAAAACAGTAAAAGTTCTGGATATGCAAAAAGTCACGGGGAACACACGGACGAGCCACAGCGGCATCCCCAGCACATCCCGGCCCCCGTGGGGAGAGGCAGGAGCTGCCCATGCAGTGCCTGCCTGCGCCTTAAAGTGCTTTACAAAAGCAGCTCTTGCTGCCCCTGCTCTGGCGCTGTGGGGCAGAAAGGAAGAGGAACGAAGGAAGGAGACAAGAGGTTAACAGTGCTGCCCCGGAGGCGGGGAGCTCCCTGCAAGTGAGAGCCTATGGAAGATGCTCTGGGATATGAGGGTCCCAGCTAGGGATGGGACAGGGAAACCCTCCTGGGTCCCTTTTGGAGGTACCAGAGTTCTCCATCCCACCAGGGCCATGTCCCAGGCTGGGCAGGTACCAGCAATGCTGGTAAGAGAAGACCCCATCCCTCCTCACTAGTGGAGGAGAGCAGCTCCAGCCCTTTCCCTGCCCTCTGCCATGGCCTCTGCATGCTCCTCGCAGCGCTGCTGGCAGCACGGGGAGCTCACAGCCCCCAAACCACCCAGTACCATTTAAATCAAAGGTAAAACCAGGACGGTATTGCTAAAGCAGAGCTGGAGCCTCAGGTAAACCACTTCTCCAAGCAGGGACATGCAGAGGGAGTGCTCTCTCACATCTCCTTCCTGCAAACCCTCGCTGGAAGGTATCGTGCATCACAGTTTCTTCACTCGGAGCCCCGGGCTGATGCAGTCGCTGATGAGACCCCAAAAGGTGGCAGGGCCCCAGCACAAAGCTCCTCTCCCCAAGCACCAGTGAAGCCCCTTCATATGGGACATGACTTTTGCTGCACAAGGGGGGCACACTCAGGCTGGCAGCAGCACAACCAAGGCCTGGTGGAGATCCCCCTTCCACCCTCTCCCAGCCCAGCAAAACAAACCCCACCAGCAGCAGGCAGGGAGGGCAGAGAGGAAGAGGACATGGACGAGGACAGGTCATCAGGATGCTATGGAGCATCTCTTGATCCAGCATCTGTCCAAGCGTGCCCTATTCCCAGGGAAAGGGAGATGCAATCCCCTATTTCAGGGGGACAAGACGCTCAGTGCTGGGGACAGGATCCTGCACAGGCAGACGTCCCTCCTGCACACCCATCACCCAGACACAGCCCGGCTGCTCCACACTGAGTGCCAGCACCCCACAACCAACCTGCCTGCTCCCTGACAGACCATAAACCACATTGCAGCAGTGCCATGGAGCAACACCTGCAAGGGCTCAGCCATCCCGAGCCTGACCACACATTCTGGACAGGGTTAGCAGCCAGCCAAGCAGCTGCTGGAGAACACAAGTGATGCTGCAGCTCCTCAAAAAGGCAGCCTGGAGAGCTGCTCGGCACCTCCAGCCAACGAGGTGCTGCTCTGACCCAGCCTGTCCTGTGCCACAACATGCCAACAAGGGAAGGGAACGGACCAGAAATAACCAAAGACGACATCCAGGCGCATCCATCAGTCTGAGGTCCGGCTGCTGCTTCCCACCTGATTTCAAATCCACATCATGTTTGTTTGTTTGGGGTAGTTTTGTTTTAAAAATAGACTTTCTTAGTAATGTTCCATAAAAATACTCTTGTCCTCAGTGACGGATATTGCAGCGTGAAGGGTTAACAGCTTCTGTTCCTGCTCTACAAAATGTGGAAAAGGCATCGCACCGATACATGTAGAAAAACTCAAGGACTCAGTATAACAAGAGCCGGTACAAAACGAGGAAGGTGAGAGTTTCACTGGATGCCATTGATGTGGACTCCTCCAAACCCATTATCAGCATGAGGGCAACCATCCTGCCCTGGGATTCAGCCTGGTCTGGGCAGCAAAGGAAGCAGCACAGGGGACAGGGCAGATCGATGTCTTTAGCAATAACCTTGTAGAGTTTAAAACCCCAAAAGATGCTCTGTGCCGTTTTCTTCCTTCCCACAAAGGACATGGATGATTGCAGGTTCCAACTAGGGCATTTCTGCATAAAATGCATCCAAGTTTGACGAGCCTATTCAATTGCAACAGAGAGCATGAAGACAAGTGGTGCCAAAAAGCATCTAATAATAAATAGATCTGGACACAGGTATATACTCTGTATACGGGTATGAAATGCCTAACGGAGGAACGATCCCATCCCTCCGGCGCCGACTCCGCTCTCCTCCTTGCAGCGAAGTCTCTGCTCACTCACCGGTCCAGTGTGACATAAGGACACGTCACCTTCTTAAACAAGGTGGGATGTGCCCAGAGAGGAGAGGGAAGAGCAGCAGCAGCAGCAGGTCTCGGGGGGTGATGAACTCTGTGCCTCCCTGGTGGGAAGGCTGAGTGTGCAAAAGGAGACGGGGCCTGATGCTCCACGGTCAGCCTCAGTTCTCGGACAGTGACAGTGCCAGGGCTGCCTGCAACGCGGCCTCCTCATCGATGTTGTAGTCCTAAAACCAGAGAGGGATGGTCAGAAGTGGCAGAGCCAGGGGACAGATTCTCCATCAAGCAGCAGGGTGGACGCAGCAAGGAGCCCTCCCTGCTCCTTATGGTGACAACGAGCCTCCAACTCCTCCGGCACGTGGGTTCCAGGAATACCATGCTCTTTGGGGTGTTCCTTGTGCCCACAGTCCCTCTCCAGCCTAGAATCTGCCAACATCAGCCCTTAGACTTGGTGGAGGGCAGGGAGAAACATGCCCATGCAAGCAGCTGTGGCAAAAGGGCAAAGCTTTCTAGCAGGACCATGGGCTTCTCCATTGCTCTAGTTTGGGTTTATACAACACAGTGATTGCTCCCAAAGCGGGGAGATTTCTCTCTCAGTATTTGGAAGCTCCTTTCCCTGACTTCTAATGGCCCTGCAATAAAAGCAGGATGCTGCCAAAACCTCCCCTTGGTCCCTGCAGCCAAGGCTGGGCAATCACATCCTCACTCCCACTCAGGAAGGGTCAGCAGCTCCTCAGGAGGGGAGCCATGGACACCCCTCACCTACAGCAGCCAGACCCTCCCCCAAGCCTGGGCTGCTCCCCTCTTGCTGCTTGTGAAGCCTCAAAGAAAAGGGCTTTTGTGTTACAGATCCTCAGGGGATGAGTTTAATGGAGCACGTGGAGGAAACAGCTTGTCTTCATGGAGCAGTAACATTTTCCTCCTCCTTCAGAGAGGTTTTCCTGGTGTCTCTGATGAGCAGCAGCTCGAGCGCTCCCAGGGCAAGGGGGGGAGCTCAGCCCCACAGCCGTGGGGGTCTCCTGAGAGGGGCTACATGTGCCTCCCACAAAGCCTGAAGGAGGATCTGTCCCAAGGGGCTGCACCGTGGGTCAGGCTGGGGGAAGATGACCCCGTTTCAGCGCAGGTACTCACCACGAAGGTGTCATAGGAGAACTTGTGCCTGTGCAGGAGGTGCTGGAGGAAGTTGGCGCTTTTGTAGCTGGGGTCCCCCCAGGGCATGGCTGAGCAGACCGGGCACACCTGCAGCAGGCAGGGACGAAAGGGAACCAGGAGTCATGGGCACAAACCCTTCCATCTCTTATCTCCTGGAGATGTGAATAGTGCTCCCCCCCTTTCTGACAGAGTGTGACCTGCAGAGGATGTGCTAAAACGGGGGTCCCTCAGGTCCCCCAAGCAGATCTCTTGGTGCTCAGAGCCTGTGGCATGTGGCCCAGGCTGCTTTTAGCCCACTGACAAGTTACACATGCACGTGAGCACCTCCGAGGCAGTGATAAAGCTGCAAGTTCTCTGCCTTGGTCAACCCAGTGTGGATGGGGAGAGGAAACACAGCACCACCCAAGTTGCTAGCACAGGGGGATGGAGGCAGCTCATCCTAGAGAGCCTGTAACAAAACAAACAGGGGCAGGTCCCCACCTCCTGTCAAAGGGATCTAAAACAAACTGAACCAGCTGGAAACACAGCTCTGCACGTCCGGTGGCCTCGGATGCAGCATCAGCCACGGTGTGTTTGGATTTCCAGGAGTTACCCCGCACAGAACCAGCCCCTCCCAGCACCACTCACCACTTTGTTGGGGTCGTTGCGGTGGTTCTCCATGCAGTGCTTCACCAGCTCCTGCTGGTCCAGGTTCCGGGCCCCACAGTACGGGCAGACGAATGTTGAGCGATTGGGAATATTGCTAAAGAGAGCAAGAACAAGCTCAGATCCCCCGGGAAAGGACTGGATCGACTCCTTCCAAACTAAGCCAGCCACCTCCTGTGATATCCAGCTATGGCAGAATCCAGCCCAGCCCGTTCCCACCCCAGCCAGAGGCTGAACCACGCTGGTTTGGTTGGTCTTTCCTCCCACAGCATGCTCTGAAACACAAGGCAGACAGGGGCTGCAAATGCCAGGAGGGAAACAGTTCTGTTTCTCCCTGTAATTGCCATGGGGAAAGTAAACGCCATGCTCGTATTTTAGGGTTCGGAAGGGACTGGAGTGACGGCACAGCCTGCAAGGAGGGACACATTTCCTTACCCAACACACGGCAGTACCTGGGAATAGGCTGGGACGTGGGGACAACCGGAACGAACTTGGGGCAGTTGGCCATCTGCTCCTGCACCTTTGCGCAGGATGAGACGTGAGAGCGCATTTTTGCGAGGGTCACCTGGAGCACAAGGAGAGAAGAGACATTCCCATCCCCTTCCAGACAGTGCTGGAGCCTCTGCCACAGCTCAGGACAGCAGTTTGGGTCAACCAGGGCCAACACGGGTCTGTGCAGGACGACCCACACCAGTGTGGAAACGCTGCACCAGGCTGCTCTTCCTTGCAGGACAGAGGTTTGGGGCCACATGCTCACTGCACATACCCCCAGAGGTCACACTGAGCCACCCAGCTGCGTTACTGCAGGTTAACTCCATTTTCCTTTTCAAAGGAGGAACTGCTGACAGGCAGAAACCCCACACTGCTCTGTCACTGTACGGGACGGTTTCTGGGCCGCATCCAGGGAGTTACAAGAAGATCCCCAAAGTTAACGGAAGCCAGGAAGCGCATCAGCGGAGACACACCATGAATCACAGCTTTACAGCCAGTCCTGGAGCGTCCCAGACCAGACTGCCCCAGGCAGAGCCAGGCCACGCTGCTGGTTCAGCTTCCCCACAGCCATTGGGATTGCAGCACCTTAAGCAAGAGCAAAATCCTTACCCTCATTTGGAGCAGCAGCAGCAGAGCTGGTTTGCCTCAGCCTCTCCTGTGTTGCAGGAAAACCTCAGCCTGCTTTTGAAGGTCCCCACTGTCTAATAATAGCTCCAGTCTGCTGACAAAGGCAGCTAGGAGAGAGTGCCTTCATCTCCTCACAGCCCCGCTCACCTGCCTCATGGCAGCAGCCGTGACACACAGGGGACACCACACCTCATGGGTACAGCGTGGGGACACACTGAACAGGGGACCCCAGAATCCCAACCACCAACAGCAAGTGACCTCCAGCCACGGGACAGTCAGCAGGATGGGTACAGGCAGCCTTCCCCTTTGAGCTTTACCTTCTTGCTGCAGCCCCTGCAGGGAGCCTTGTAGGACGAAAGCTGTTTCTCCACGCTGGAAGCCTTCTCCACCTTCTTGGGATCGAAGGGCATGCGGCAGAGCGGGCACAGAGGGGATGGCACTTGCAGACAGGGCTGCAGGCACTCCCCGCAAAACCTGGGGGCACAGAGAGTGGCACTGAACAGCCTGGGGTGGGCAGGAGAAGTGGGACCCCAGCCCCAGGGCACCCCAGGCTGCAGGGCAGCCCCAAACCCCGCGGATCAGCACCACCACTGGGAAAACTGGGAGCCTGGGAAAGGTGAAGGGAGGCCAAGCATTGCTGGGGCTCAAGATAATGATGGTGCTCTGAGGCCTGAGGCTGGGAGTGGATTTGAACAGAGCCAAACAACAACCGGTGCTGAGCATCCAGGCCATGCAGGAATAAAGGCAGTGAGCACATTACAGCCTGGTTCACCTCCTTTCAAGGTCCTTATGCCTGCAGGAGCACGGATGAGAGATCAAAGCAGCAGAGAGGAAGCACAGAAAGGGACCCCTGGGCACAAGGCAAAGCAGCTCAGTCCCCACAGAGTCAATTGCCAGGGCATCCTCATCCCCTCTGCTGCCAACCCGGCTCACACCACCCAGAACACGGGTATGAAGTGCTGAGGGACAGACACGGTGCCCCTTGCCCCAGGTCCCTGCCACCACCCCATGAAGCACCCCCATCCCCAAACACACTGGAGGGAGGGCAAAGAGTGAGACCACGCTGGGGGAGACCGAGATGTCCCAGAAACAGGATGGGAAAGGGGGACAAGGTGTCCCCAGAACACTCGGGGGACAAGCAGACCCCAGCTCCCCACGGCAGCGCTACAGCCAGCCTTTCACCATGTACTGGG